CAAATCGAAAGCCCGTTTGGTATTTTGAAGTACTATATGAGTATAGTCAAACCACCAAGCGGTTAGATGCCATGACCCCATTTGCGTCTGCCACACCCCCTCAGAGATGTGAAAATCATGAAAAAAAGCCCGTGATGATAAACCCTGTAAATTTTATATTTTGCCAAAAATTCATAAAAAATACAACAAAATACCACCAGGTCGACCAATTACCAACACCTGTAATTCATAAAACAGAAATATCAGTGCTCTGGTGGACTTTATTTTACAACCGATCATGAACCAGATTCCATCAATACTTTTAGATACAAGACCTTTACTTTTACTAATAGAAGACATTAAATTACTAGTCACACATAAATATAAGTTAATTACATACGATATTGAAAGCATGTATACTAATTTAGACACTAAGCTATGCAAAACTCATTGCCCTAAGCAATTTATGTTACATAAGGATAAATTGCATTACCCTATAACTTATCGCAATATCAATTTTCAAATATGTTAGATTTTTGTCTAGACTATAACATTGTCGAATTCGGATGATTTTTTTTTCAATACAGACCCCTGCTCAGGAAATTTTCAAAAATATTCAAAATTTCAAAAAAGTTGGGATTTCAGTTGGGTATGATAGAGCAACTTTCTTTACGAATTACGAAAATGTGAATATTATCAAAATCCGAGCAAAATTGGAAAATGGAAAGTGGCAGAAAATAAGTGAAGAAGTTGGAAAGTCTTCCGGAAAGTCATTGATGAAGGATGTCAAGAAAAAAATCAAATACGAGCAAAATGGATTAAAATCCAGTTTGTTTACTAAACTATAAAGGTAGACACCAAACGAATGTTCTACATGAATTTCATAATTTAAAAATTATTTCTTGACCATTTACAGGGCCAATTACAAAGTGTCTGAGTATTTCAAGTCCACAGTCTACTTATTTCACTAAAAATTGGCAATATTTATCTTCTCGAAAAAATGAATTGCAACGAATACATTAAAGTGTTTGATTGACACGCTATTATTTGTTGTGAGTTACTTGATCTACTCCTTTCATAATTCTGTGGTGTAGGTTAGTGAAGGAAGATATCTGTAAATTGAGATTTATCCCTTCTTGGTTAGGTTAGGTGCTTTGGCAAATTTTCCTGTATTATAAATAAATATTTGATGTGATCAATTCTTGCTTGATTATACGAATTGAGTATGTATGTACTAATATTACGATAAGCTTATGTAATGCTTTTATTTTATCAGGATTACGAATTGTATTTAGTTTCATAAATTAATTATTGGCGCTGATGTATTACATATTTATTATCCGATCGGGTAATTCCACGATCAGGTAAGATTCATGACCTGGTAACATAGCGAGGTGGATGCCATCGACAAGTTTTACTGTCAAATTATCAATTTCATAGTAAAAATATGATATTTGGGAATTCCAAAATTTCCATTTCCTATATTTAAAAATTTATTTAGAATTATTCTCAATCCTTAAGAAAATTGTTTGACGCATTACGACCAGATTTGATTGACTGGATTAAAATTGGAAATTGTATAACGCCGGACTATTCTCCATTGCTGGTTAGGCCTGGTCGCGTAAGCTTGAATTCTTAACTATTGTATACATAAGTAACATTGGTCTTACTAGATATATATGTTTGTATAATAGCGATGAAGAGTGTCGTAATCTAGATAGAAAGAAGCAATACACGATTATGTAGCTTGAAAAAATTCAATTTTACAGAATATGGATTTATCTGCTTGAATAATTTAATAACTTGCACAACTTCTGACCCAAGTGTCATCCATAGATAACGTAAAAATTGGGATTTTTCACACCCTTGTAACGCAGTTACGCCCACTCTTAACTTGTCTCCCAAATTTTAACGCACCTCACGCTACCCACCACGTACCCTCTCTTGCATTATATAATTAATGGATAGCGCCCAAATCGGCGCATGGTGGTCTATCGATTTTCATAACAGTATTACATAAAATTCTATGTTGGTATTACTTATGTTCATAATTCTTAAGAATATCCAGAAGAATTTTATGCTGAGGTTACATATTTAAACCTTATCCAGACGAGGGTCTGTTTGCATTGGAACTTTTTTTATCCTCCTCGACAAGTAGGTGGCCAGAATACTTAACAATTGATTCTTATCCCAGTAGCAATTTCCTGCGTAGCTTGGGCACATTTTTTATCATGGGTTCTTCTACTTGCCATCCTAATTTTGCGACATTCTTACCCTTATTTTCCCTGCTACAAGGCGCAACATCCTCAGATAGCAGAACCGGTTGCATTCTCTATCTCAGAGTTGGACAGGATGTGGAAAGCATGGCGTTGGAGGATGACAGAATTCTCAAATTTTCCCACCCCAGTAGTGCCCACTATTCCCTGGTTATTTTTAACCGTGCATTACATGTCGTACCACTCCTGCCCGTGACATCTTTGCCGTTAATATCTCGACACAATGGCAACCTCGGTGTCAGTCTTCTAAGCAGAAGTTTACTTGAAGAGGATGGAAATAGACCGGACCTTGATAAGGAAATAGTATTTGGCGGATATGTGCCTTCACTAAGACATCTCATTGTCAGACCTGAGTTCATATTTGTTTTGATAATTCGAAGTAACCGTGTACCAAGAATGTCTTGTTGGTATGGCTGTCTCACATTTCCCTTTTCGGTATACCTCGTCCTAATCGAGTCTGACGGATCGAATCCGTTTAATCACTTTGAAATCGAGGATATCCCAATCCGACACTACTACTCGAGACAGCTGCAAAAGTTCGAACCCATTCGAGAAGAATTCGCTTTCCGCCAACTCTACAAAACGCCCCTCCTTCCCACCGATACTGACCATATAGGAATCCAGGTCACCTTTATGAGCCCGGGAAGTAGGAATGATCTGCTATGCCACTTATATGGACATCGTGGAATTAGGGGTTACTACGAGTCCCAGGATTACAGTTCAAGGATTCCAATTTGCCATAGCCATCTCGAAGAAATTGTCGAGCTAGCGATCAATCTTAATTTTAGCCTCCGCCGGGTCCCGGACATGTCTGGTATCACGTTACAATTCATTTTAACCGAAGATCCACCCCACGGTCTTGCGAACCGGTACATGTGGAAAGACGAGGTTCAAGCATTTATCAAATATTGCCGTCCTTACACTAGACGACTGACTTCACTGAAAGTTTGGCTTACCCCTTTCCAGACACCAGTATGGGTCGGGCTGCTTCTAGCCTTTTTCGTAATCTCGTTAACCACCGAAGACCTTAGTACCGCGGTTGCAACAAGTAACTCTACCACTGACAAGATTTGGAGTCATGTTACCGTCTGGCTATCATCGTCCTACTTCCTTTTCTTCCTCCTTACCCGAGAACCCATCCGAAATTTCACCCGGGGTCACGTCACCTTCGTCATTTTGACCCTCCTCCTCTCCTGGGGTTATGAGGGGTGCTTCACAACAAGCCTCATGACACCATCGAAACCGTTCAGGTACAAGAATGTCGGAGAGTTTATAAACTCTTCGCAAATAGTTATCATTCACTCGGCGAATCTTAACATAGCCCAGACCATAGATGAGAAAAGCCCGGTTTTTTCGACAGAATTGGAACGTCACGGTGTCGCTGGTAAAACAAGGTCATTTCTTATTGTTCGGAACACAAAAATTATTTCTGACCAGTATCTCACAAGGTGGGAAAACTTGTCAAGTTTGGGCTATCTAGATACTAATGTGCGAAACATGGTTCCGGTTTATATGGAAAGGCTGCAAATGCATATGGATTCGTGGAAAGTGAAGGGGGAACATGAGACGTATATTTGTGACCAATTTCCCTTTTCCCATGTCAACACGGTGTATACATATTTCAAATTTGTGCTAGCAAGGAAAGCCATCATGTTGCATAATGCCTATCTGCAGAGCGGGATTTTAATGTTTCAAGACTCCATTAACTCGAACGCTTTTAGGATTCATTCTGCCGAGATAGCGAGATGGGGAAAACCTGACAAGATAGGGGAAGGGGGGGATGGTTTTATTCTCTTGAAACATTTAAGATCATTGTTTTACCTGAATTTGGCCATCTTATCGGGTTTAGTGATTATCTTTATGTTGGAAATTAGGGATATGATACGGTATACTGGGGTACTGTTTTGGTATAAATTGATGACAATGAGGGCCAAGTTGAAACGTAAATTGAGAGAGGTATGCAGAAGGAAGGGAAAAAATAGAAATTTTGTTAGGAGCGTTCATAAAACACGTAACGCAGGACGGAAGGTGTGAGATCGCCTATCTCTGCCATGTTAAAATTCTATCCTGTAACGTGACACCCGATTTATTGCGTCGCGTATTTTATGAACGGCCCCCTGAATGGTAAATTATAAATAATATAAAGAAACATTAATAATAATAAATTTCTGAATTTCTTAAAAATTTGAAATAAGTATGTATGACAATGCGATATTTGAAACAAATATTTGTCAAGCTTTACTTTATTTGTTTTATTCTTAAATTGCACTATTTCAAATTTTTGTATTACATAGTTATAAAACTTTAAAATAAATATATACAAATGCGCTAAATAATTTTGGCGAATTATTATAACTAATTTAACAATCATTTAAATCCGCAATTAGGGAACGTTCATAAAATACGTAACGCAAGAATGGGTCTGAAGTCGCCAATCCCCTGCCCATTTGGAATATTCGCAAAGGCATACCACATACATGCTCTATATAAAATTAAATTAGTGCATATATTCTATCTCATTATATCAATATTACAACATCACCAATGTCAATCAGCTGTCAAATGTTCGCGGAACAATAACCCTTCGGAACACCTGCCTCCCATTAGGTTGTAAGGATCAAATCTTCCGCCTAGTGAAGCTAAATAAGTAGGTGCATATGGAATACAATAGTAGACTGAAATTAATAAATCTAAAGAAGCACACGCTAAGAAATTCTATCAACGTTCTATCATCGCGCAGTGGTGTCTTGTTACCAATTTTATTGTATCTATCACCTAGTGTTGATATTATGTAACTAAAAAGGTTACGATGCCTATCACCACAAGCGGTAGAATCATATGGTGATGAACATGATAACGGCTATCACCCAGTTTCTTAGAGTGTAGCGTCTCACTTATCAAATTTACCGACATTACAGAGACAAGTGATATCACAGAGTAGAGAAAAGGAGAGCAAGCAGACGCAGCGATACAAGGAGCTTTATGCAAGATGGATGGACAATTTAATGGAAATAATTGGAAAACTGAATGGATTTTGGAGAATTTATAAGAGTGCAAATTCATATTTGAAAGATTCATCTAAAATTACAGATATGCAATATATAGACTATAATTTTATTAATTATTTCAATGACTCCATTTTTGTTGCGTCACCCTACACCATGCACCCCTTATTTTCCCCGGTACCCGGGGTGGTAACCGTAATCGATATTCCGTCCACCCATTCCACTTGACCCTTCCCTTTAACCGCTCCGTTCCACGCGTGCCGTACCACCATGGGGCCGGTCAACCCTTGATATTTCAACGTCGTGTCTGCACTAAAGGTCATGGTCGTCTTGGCCGGAAAAGTCATCATTTTTCCCCCAGGGACTTTCACCTCCCCCTCGGCAACGCATAGGGTCGTCGCAATGGAAAACGTGACTCGGATGTCGTCCTTCTCAAAGTGGACGGTGGTCGGGGTCTCGTACCGAATCCAACCCGTGGTCCAATAGGACGGGTATGTGAACGTCGTTTCTTCCGGGTAGGTCACCAAACATCCGGCCGGATATGAATAAAGGTTGGATACAACGTTGCGTGACGACAGTCTAGCCAGGCCGTAAGTAATTGGCGCCAAACTCTAGAATTATTTAGGAGGGAAATGTTGAACGTTATACTTAATATCCCGGGGTCAATTGACTTGATAACATGGTATGAAACATATGTGTAAAAATAACTAAAAAATAATTAACGTCACTAACTCAATGAGGGTATTCACGCAAATTGCACAAATTTGCAAACCGATTTTCGGGAGAAAAGTTTACGAACTTTGCAACCTTGAATTTTTTGCGAACGTTGTGAAGTACGCATGGATACCCCCAATGAATTAATAATTAATGTCATTTAACGTTACTATTGATGTCATTTAAATTACCGACATCTAGCCGGCTGAACCGTAATTGTAAACCAGTTTATATTAACTGATATTTATTGACACTTGAATAAAGGATTACTTGACTTGACCAACATTTCCGAAATCCCTTTAGTCTGACTTAAAAACTGTCCAAACCAATAATTGAAATATGTATGTACAATTGACAATGTTTTAACACTTTTGGACAGTGTGTTGGAAGGTGTAACACCATTGGAAGTACCCTTATTACAAAAAAAGTTTGACATCATTGTAACAAGGTTACGTATGTAAACCCTTACCCCTTCCGTCTCGTTGACCGATACTGCGTACGTTGGGTTATTTGAAACCAGCCACATTCCCACCACAACTGTAAAAATTCTGGCGGTATTTGACTTCATCTTGACTTATCAAAGTGTGTAGCGATTATTCTTCTCTACTATTCGGTTGTCGACAACGGAATGAAGATTTATGCGGTTTGAGAAGAGTATTTATGAAAAAATTACATATGCATTGACAGAAATTGGTTGACAAATTCCGACAGATGTGTGAAAGCCAGATGTGTCTCGAGTTGTCATAAAAAATTCTTTTATCAATTAAATTGGAATTTAAGTAATGTAACGAATTCTGAATTCGTGTAATAATTTATGTGTACGTCAATCACATCTCAATGGTTTGATCATGAGTAAAAAAATTTATAATAAACTAAATTTGTGCATATGCTGCAGGGTTCCTGAAATCACATGACTGTGACTGTCACAGTGATTTACTTGTCGCGATTTGTTGCGATTTTTGTGATGTGTTGTGGTTTTTATGATTTCTGTGACTTATTTTGATTTTTGAGATTTATTGCGATTTTTGTGACGGATTGTAATTTTTGTGATCTTCGTGACTTATTTCTACTTTTACAGTATCAATCTAGCAGCAGCGTATATGTTAACCGTCTTTTACATACATAGATAAGAATACGCTGCCAGTTAGAGACCAGAAAAATCACAATAAACCACAAACATCGCAAAAATTGCAGAAGGTCACGGAACTGTGCCCATCACAGCCGCAAAACTGGTGTGTTGACGTACACAAAAATATTATTCAGTGACTTGGTGCGTCAAGTCAAAACGTTTCCAGATTTTTAAAAAGCAAAGAATTAATGATCCCGAATCCCCAGGCCAAAAGTGACTCATGCATCGTGATGTATTCCATTCTGCAAACAAATGTTGGAATTACTGACTTGATAATATTTGTTCATGCCCAAATAATTATTCCACTTGCGAATAACAAATTTATTTATTTCCTTGCTGAATTTCGAAACACATTTTTATCAAACGTTCCGGCGTACTGCCATCGACCAGGTAAAAGAGACAGGAGAAGAGGATGGGAATATATTTCGGAGTCATTTTTACCCCAGATATCTTCCCAGGGTGTTCATAGTCGGATCGAAGAGTGGAATATGAAAAGTAGGAAAATTTGGCGATATCGCATTTTTAACGGTCAATTTATATTCCCTTTGTTTCTTCGAACAAAAGCGATTTGGGAATGCAGACGTCAAACCATTTCCAAGGATAGCAGATATACATACATATTCAGTGAGATCATTCGGTGACGTTACACGAAAAATAATTAGGTGATACTAAATACCTGTATGTGGCTCTGCCGCGGTGGTTACGACTTTATCCCCAAAGAGTAACACTAAATTCTGCCAAAATCAAATTTTCTACCATGCTGCCAACAATTTCTTGCCGGGTAGTGATGAATTTAAATTTCGCAGAATTATTTATTTTTATTTATTTATTTATTTAATACAATGAGATACCCTACCAAGTAGGCTATTACATCTCAAGGACAATTCAATTTATACAATTTTCAAATTCATAGTTGTCAATAAGTTCAAAGATTTCGGACATTCTCTCAGCTCTTTGCTTGTCAATTAAGAAAGTTTTTACAAAATTTTTAAATACGGTAAAGTTAACATGCCTTATATACTCTAGACTGAGCTCGGGAACATTGAGTATTTTTTTTTTCAGGGCTCTGTATCTAAATGATTTCTTTGCAATGTTGTTTTTTATATTTAGTAGTGGTTCTGAATAAGTCTTGTTTCTCGTACATTTCGTATCATTTGCCAGTGTTAAATAGTTTTTAAAGTACGTTGGCCCACACTCATTCAAAATTTTGTATGATATTTTCATTAATTCAAAATTTACAACATTTTGTGCCAATAGCCAGCCATAATTATTAATATCGTCAATAATTGAGTCATATTTGGATTTTCCTGAGATGAAACGAGCACATGCTCGAATTATTTTATCAATCCCAGTTATATTTTTCTTTCCAATCAACCAAACTGGGCATGCATATGTATATATCGAATTGACTAAAGCCTGAACCACTATTAATTTATGAGGATGACTTAGTACATATTTCAATGGACGAAGAGGCCATAAAGCTCCATGACATTTTCTCGCAACATTTTTACAGTGATCATTAAAATTTAGATCTTCGTCAATAGTTACACCAAGTATCTTTATGGATTTTACTCTATTTAGAGGAACATTGTTAATGGAGATGCTAGTATCTGCTAATATTCGTTTATACTTTTTGTTACCTATTATCATTACAACACATTTATCTACATTAAGTTCCTGTCTATTTTGCTTCATCCATACATAAATTGCATTTAGATCATCTTCAAGTTTCTACTTAATAATTAGCAAGTCCTCAATTTTACCAGCTATAATTATAATCCGCGAACATAATCGATAGACTGTGTTTTAAATGGTAGGGAAGGTCGTTAATAATAATAAGGAACGATAGGCAGCTAATACATAAACCTTGTGGAAATCCTATATTAGTTGACAGCATTTTAGAATTTCTTACTGATTCCTTACAGGTGATACATACATACTGAGTTTTTTCACTTAACAAAGAATCAATGATATTACAATCTATACCATACCATTTTAATTTATGTTTTAGCACCTCTTTGCATGCCATATCGCACAGTGTACGGTTTGACCTCAAATAGCGCGGAAATTATTTTACGGTCCAAAATCCTCCCACGGGGGTAGGAAAGCCTAAAAATATGATTCATTTTGATTTTGGAAAGGGGGTGTGGTCGGTAGGGGGGTTTCTATCGAATTTTCAAAAAGTCTCAATTTCCCACTAAAACCACACCCACTTTGTTCAGAATTTAATGCTGATTAAAATGAGGTATCATACATGCCCATTATCTCTTACCATTGTCTCGCAAAAAAATAAAATGTAACGGAAGATCGGCGTTTTTGTCAAAAATCGTCAAAATCGCCAACTTCAAAGGGGTCTCAAATCTTTCAAACCGAAAACGCGCAGGAAATTATTTCGGATTTTTGAAGTACACTCATAGCACTAACTTAGATCACGGCCTCGGTTGGATCTGAGGTGGTATTTTTGTGCAAATTGAGGTCAAAGTTCACTAAAAATAGCGTCGCTAAAAACCTTCATATTGAGGGTTTTTGAAGGGCTGTCAAATCCTACAGGATAAAAACTACAAAAAACTGGACTTTGCATGATAAGCTACGGTCATAACACTCTGTAACAGAGTGACCTTTATTCCAGTCTAAGCAATAGTGTTCGTATAAAGGCGTGTCAAAAATGGCGTCCCTGAAGGTTGCAAAAATTCCTGAAACTGGCCAACTTCAAAGGGCTCCCAAATCCTTGAAACTGGAAACGCGCAGGAAATTATTTCTGAATTTTGAAGTATACACTTATTACTAACTTAGGTCACGGCCACGGTCAAATCTGAGGTGGTATTTTTGAGATAATGGAGTTCAAAGTTGACGAAAAAAGCGTCGACGCGACATCAGCAGGATTTTTGGTTAGGTTCGTTTGGTTTAGTTTGGTTGGTTTGGTTCTCACTTTGCCCCAAAAATCTCACTTTCCACAAAAACATGTTTTTCGTGACCTAGAGGTCATGATTCGTGCAAATCCGCAATAAAAATTTTTTCCCCCTAAAATACAAAAAAACTTGGAAAAAATCCTGCTGATGTCGCGTCGACGCTTTTTTCGTCAACTTTGAACCAGGGTTGCAAGTGGTATATATCACCTGGCGAGATTTAGTGAGATTTAATGATTTATATCAATCATCTCAGTTGGGGCTGAGTGAGAAATATGAGAAGTAATGAGCTAAACTTGTACTTCATGACCCCGTCCGCTAGGTGGCGCTAGTGCATGGCTCACAAATCTCACTATATCTCATATTTCTCATGTCTCACTATTTCTCATTATTTCTCAGTGAGATGAGATTTGTGAAGGCGAGATGAGATTTCTGCAACCCTGCTTTGAACTCCATTATCTCAAAAATACCACCTCAGATTTGACCGTGGCCTCAGTAATATCTGCGAATTAAATTGCTTTGCCAGCATTTAGCCAATTTTGTAGTCAGAGTTTTACCAAATGAGTACTCTCACTAGTCAGAAGGATATTAAAACCGGAAAAATTGTGTCACACATATGTATTTACCTAGCGGATATCAGCAACTAAAAACCAGTTCATAATTCTCAGAAATTTTAAATGGTAGGTAGCCTAACTACAGATTTTTACATAATTGACTCCCAGGTCATTAACAATTAGTTAATTAAGATTCAGTATCTATTTATCACCGTTTTCACCAAAACGATGGCTACAATTAATTTAATGGGAGCGGTAATTAATTGATTAAATAATCTTTTCGTGGACAATAAGAACTTCAGGAGATGAAAAATTTGAAATTAAAAATCTTGGGTCAAACCAATGTAGAAATGAAGAGCTTTAAAATAATTGGAAAATCTGGATTGAGTAAATTTTATGGAGAACTTTGTAAACTGTTCAAAAATATTGCAAAAAAACTGTAGAAAAAATGCAGGGAAAATCATGGGCAATTATTTTTTCAAAATAATTACAAAACTCCCGACTTGCAAAGAAAATCTTGTTACATATACCAAGAGTATAATATGAGATAGATGTCCGGTTTTTCATTCGTTTCCAAGTTCTACTGACGTCACCAACGGTCAACTCGATGAATTGGAAGACTTTTCCAGAAGTATCCCAAGGTAGCAGAGGTTTTAAGGGTAAGATAGGCAATGCGGTAGTAGTACTTCTTGTGGATACAGCAGCAAAGTATGAGTTCACTTCATCAGGAGCAATTTTGATTTCGGGGGAGGGATCAAGTAATGGGTATAATTGTTGAGGGCTCCCCATAGATGCAACTTCTCTACCTTGGTTGAAAATTCAAGCTTTGTGTCGTAGTATATTGCTGCACCGACCTTCTTTTTTAGGAGTAGAAACTTGACTAAACTGGTTTGATCCCTGTTATGTCTGTAAAGTTTGTAAGCATTGTCCCTTGTCTTAATTAATTCCTTAGTTGAGTTGGAGATAAATTTCTTTGAGGGATATTGGAATATTGTTTTATTTTTGAATGGGGCAAACTTGTTAAATGCGTCAAGTAATTTACTAACAGTATATGATGTGGCACCATCAGGTAGTTCATCGTCCTCGATTTTAGGAAGGTTCATTGATTCTAAAATATTAAGTGTTTTATAAATACGAAATCTCATACATTTTTTAGGTACTTTTGGTCTAACAAACTTTAGGGTGCATTCAATGTAAGAGTGGCCCGATAAATGTGGGTTATATACATATTTATTTAAAACTGAGTTAATGTTGTTTGTGACGATAAGGTCCAGCATGTTTTCACCACGGGTTGGTTCATCAATAATTTGTACTAATGAGTGGCGAGTCATTATGTCATTAAACGGGGTGATTGATCTTTCGTCGCGGAGGTTGTAATCACCTAGTATAAAAATATCCTAACTTCAGAGAGAGATATTTGTGAAGAATTCGTTAAAGTAGTCATAATCACTTGTTAAAGTTTCAATAGAGTAGTCAGGATGCCTATAGATACATCCAACGAGAAAAGATTTATTAAAACCAATCTGCACAATGACACACAGAGATTCAATGTTTATAGATTCCCCAATGTAATTACAAAAATCAATGGGTTTAACTTTCAGGAAGCACTTTGCAATAATTGTGACACCTCTGTCTCTATTTTGAATGACGTCTTTTCTGTACACAGAGTATCCAGGAAAACAACGTAAATTAGTATTTTGTCTTAATCTAGTTTCACTTATACACAAAATGTCAATGTCTCTAAGCGACAAGAATGCTGAGAGGTCGTGAAATTTCTTTTGAATTGAGTTGATATATATATGAGCAACTTTTAAACTTATGTCCTTTGTACGATGTATTTGGTTTACCCTGAAAAATCAAACGATTTATCATGCTCTTGTGAGCTAGAGCAGTCTTGGAAATCATCCATCGGAGATTCAGATGTCGTATTCGTGTGATTTGTAGAAATTCCAACTGAATCAACTATGCCTTTTCGTAGATCAATATTTCGAAGGTTTCCCAATGAATGTGGTCGGGAAGGTACACTTGGTCTAGTTTCGTGGCAGACTATTTGTGAATTCAATTGATCAACTTCAGGGGCTTGCGACCCCTTTGGCTGGACGCTTGATCTTATATTTTCTGCTGTTGCTTTGTGATTTCCTTGGTTGTCGGGTTGGTAAGATTGTGTTGATGGCATAGTGTTGGCTTTTTGATAAATTTCTACGAGATTTCCATTCAATATACGGTAGCATGACTCACCAGTATTTATGGTTTGCCTTGTCCAGTCAATGCGAATTTGCTTCAGTGTAAATCCTTGTTCAATTAGTTGCTTTCGTTTCTGTCGTAGTATACTGTGATCTTTCCTAACAGATAAGGGAAGATCTTCATTGATAAATGTTGGCTTGTTCACTTTAAATTTTCCTGCATATACTTCATTTCTTTCGAAGAGCGATAGGAAGCTCACTTTTATTGGTCTGGCAAATTTACTAGATGGTTTACCAATTCTATATGCTGTATCCAAATTATATTTCACACCAGCAGATTCTTGTATCACATTAGACACTTGAGCAAACAAGTCATTTTGAGTTTCATTTGATCTTTCAGAAATTCCAGAGAATATTAAGTTGATTTTTGAAAGTTCGTACCATAACCGTTCGTTTTCCCCTGTGATTTCGAATACTTTAGTCTTAAGAGATTTCACCTCAGTTTCTAGTTCACCAATTTTTTCTCGATGAAGGGCTACTTAACTGTCAAGATTATCAAATCTGTTAGTGAGAATTTTTGTGTTGTCGTTAAATAACTGAGTCAATAGGCTAATTGTAATTGGAGAGTTGTCACTGCTTGCACTACTGCTATTATTTTGAGTCATGTCAAGATCCGAATTTGTTTCACTTACAATGGAGGTCTTCCAACGTATGCTCACAGATTTGGACGAAACTGGTGTCAATCGATCACAAATTTAACTAGTATGAAATTTGCAAATGCAACTATCTGCCAATACGCAGGTTTGGCGGAGATATTTGCATAAAAAGAGGTGCAAACTCTCAAATTTGTAAGGCAAAATTCGAAAAGTGTAAATTGATGGCATTTTGAACGTGTTTTCGCCTCCTTTTATGCAAATATCTCCGCCAAACCTGCGCATTTGCAGATAGTTGCATTTGCAAATTTCATACTAACTAAATTTGTGATCGATTGACACCAGTTTCGTCCAAATCTGTGAGCATACGTTGGGAGACCTCCATTGTTAGTCTCCGTTTTTTCGAAATAGTAGCTTTGCGGGGTTTAATACTGCGTTTTTGTGCTGCAATTGGGGTTTGTATTTGTACAGGAACCTTTCTTTTTCCTGCCATTAATCCGACCCAACCCTCACCTGGGAGAATCAAAGGCAGATTCCGGGTCTCCGAATAATGAAAAGGAAAAAAAAGTCTAAAGTAACTTAGGTTAATTTAGTTACAACCCAAGCTGCCTCCGACGTCCTGAGGATCTCCAATGTCCGCTGGGAGGAGCTAATTTTTAACATAGGGAGCTTATGGGAAGTCGTCTTTAAGACGTCTTTGAAACGACTTTTGGGCGGACATTGGGAGATCCTAAAGACGTCTTCTGGACGTCAAGACCACTTTGGCAGCTTGGGAAGAGGAGGATGTTGCTACTCTGACTGACTGGACTGGATTTGTTATTCTTTGGCCACGAAATCGTAACCACCGCGGTAGAGCATCATAGTTACCACACGCGGGGACGATTTTATTACCAAATTATTTTGTTTGTTAAAGACGTTTTGCAAATTCCCAGGGTTTTAAATCACTAATCAAACGGCAACCTCTAAAAGATACTAAATGTGTGCATCGTATGTTCCACATGGATCTTGTCGTGCTTCAAAGTGCGCCACAGTGTACGTATTTCCACCTTGCCTCACACTTTGGGCCATTACTTGCAATCCTAAATTGCAATGTCTCTAGCAATATGGATTGATTTGTCAATTAATTTACGAGATAAAATGGAATGCGTGCATAGTCCTACTATGTATGTATATGTATCTATACTAAAATTTGTGACGCAATACCGCACTCAAGTAGGATAGGATAGGTTAGATACCTTAACCAAGTAATATTCAAGTGAACAGGGTGAACCAGGGTGAACAAGATAAGCCGACCATTCCATAGCGAGAGCAGGTTGAACAAACTGTGCAAGAGTGGCCACTATTTTTGAACCATTCCACATTTGGTAGCAATACTCCCAGATAATCGTAAGTATGTGCACTCGAAATAATTTGGTAATAAAATTGTCACCGCCGGTAGTCGGTATGAAGCTCTAACGCGGAGGTTGCGATTTCGTCGCCAAAGGGGAACAATTAATTCTGCGAAATTTAAATTTATCACTACCCGGCAAGAAATTGTTGCCAGCATGGTTGAAAATTTGATTTTCGCAGAATTAATTTAGTGTTACTCCTTGGGGATAAAGTCGTAACCACCGCGGTAGAGCCGCATAGTATCACCGAATTATTTTGAGTGTACCTACATGAAATTACAAAATTAAAATCAATGAGTTATTTGTAAACTTGTAGCGTTTTATTTGTAGTTTATCAGATTTCCTAATTCAGCACAGTATTACAAATTTATTTATTTTCTTGTAGTTGGGAAGTTGACTTATCTTCATCTACAACTCTCTTAATACTGGTGTTCAGTAATGTTCAGCAAAGTTATCGAGTATTTAATGCATCATCCTCAAGTAATCAAGAGCCTGGCCAAATCCTATCCAATTCGTCGCGCCGCTCAATTAACAGTCTGGCACTTTCATAACCGTTCGAATTCCATGGACCAGAAAGATATCCAGTTCAAGGATAGATTTCTAAACGAGTTGGAAAAAGAGTTGAAAAAGTCTCTTGGAGGAAAATAAGTAGATGTGAAAACGGCAAACATTTATGAAGATAGTGACAACCGCATTTGAAGTCAATCAAAGGAACACATATCGTCGGATTAATTGTAAAAAGAGCTCAGTGAACCCATTTAACATGTGTTTTGGGTTCACTTAGCCCTTTTTAAAATTAAGCATAAAATGCACTTTGCTCATTTTTGAATTAAGTCGACGATATATATTATATGTGAACGAGATATACTTAATGAAAGATAGATTATAAAATATACCGTAACGTAATTATGGAGAATTCATAAATTTTTTATTAACTTATTTATGCTTAATTGAAAGATAAGTGTTTCGTGTCGGTGCTGATAATGAGGAACCAACTGATTAGATAAAACATGTCCTACTATGTACATAATCACACTAGTCATAGTCACAAGGTGGTTGTGATTCAGATCCAAGTTACATATTCTGTTGGTGAAACTACACAGTAAATTTTTGAAAATAAATTCGTACCATATCAATAATTTTGTATCGGCTCTGCGCCACATGTTATCACAGTTGAACTATTTATAATGTTGTAGGGTCGAAAGCCTACACAACGCGGATTCCATCGCGTCGACTTAATTAATTTAATTAACCAGTCTAGACAAGGTCAGAGACTGGTCTTGGCCGTGAAGGCCAACTAACTTAATGCGGGTGAAATACCCGCAGCCCACTATTTAAAGAGCGTCCGAGCTCTCACTCCGATCACAATGTTCTTGACCCCCACGAGTCCTCTTCTATGCACATGTATGTATGCAATTACTCTCTAACTAACCAGCCAGAGATTGGCGATCGTGTCAACCGATCGCACCGATCGGAGATATTTGCATACAAAGAGGCAAAAACGAGCCCAAAAAGCGACTAGTTTTACACTTTTAGAATTTGGGTTACAAATTTACGCTTTTTCTCATCTTTGTATGTAAATATCTCCGCCAAACCTGCGCATTGGCAGATAGTTGCATTTGCAAATTTCATACTAATTAAAGTTGCGATCGATTGACACCAATTTCGTCCAAATCTGTGAGCATACGTTGGGAGACCTCCATTGTTAGTTATGTACCTACTGTACACCGCCACCACCACTTTCCTACTTCGACTCCAGTCCACCGCATAACTCTTATATAACACGGGTAGGCCTCATATAACTAGCGTAGGATACGCATTTAACCCTTTGAGCCCAGATCTCTCTGCCTAGTTTCATCCTGCCTCAACACCACTGATCCATTCCTAATTACATGGCATAAGCTAACACATTGCCATTACTATTAGTGTGCCAAGTCCCACTCAATCTTGGTTATCCATTCACAGGCAGAAGCGGCGTTCCGACCGCTCGCTCTGTCTCTATATGTAAGCGGCACTTCTCCTCTCCTATACTCGACACGACGTAACGCGCTCTCGGTTACGCTCTCCTTGTAACCCTGCGAGGGTTACATCTTCTTCTCAGTGCTCTCATTCCCACTGATTTTGGTGGGTGGGGTGGTGGGGTTTACACACTTTACAAAACTGCTTCACTTTATTCGATCACAAATTATTATTACCCTGTTAATCGACGTTATGAAAATTCTGATTGATCTATTTTTGAATTCGCAGGTAATTGGTAATGTGTGCAAATTTTTGCCAATCGGAGACATCAAAGTATGCCGCTTAGTCTCCCAATCCTGGAATTATGGATCCACCCCAGTCTTAAGAGCGAGGACATTTATCAATATTTTAAGATATTCCAAAGACGGTGAAGGGTTAGCGGGTGTTGATACCATTGTTGAAATACTGAATTTCAAGCCGGTGAAAATCAAAGTGTTCTTGCCGTTCAATTGAAGAAAGGCTAAACTGGAACCTATGGATATTTCCAGGCTTCCCAGAGTCAGTTATCTCAAATCAATTGATGTGAAGGACTGTGACGGACATCAAATCCAATTCCTAAACAAATTATGTGAACTCCTAATTCTAGCTTCATCCACCACTTTGGAAACACTAAATATTTCTTGGAACAAAAAACAAAATTTCAATTTCATTCAAGGCGCCATATTCCCGAAATTGACGCAATTATGGACCCATACTACGTATAGGAATCGAATTTTTACAATTGAGAATTTTGGCCAAGCCATTACTGAATCAGTTCCAAACTTAAGATTTCTTTCAACTAGATGCGATCAATTAGTTTCGGTTTCAGGAATGCTATCAAGGTTTCCATTGTATGTTGCAAAATACCGGTCCAAAACCTGTTGCAAAACTGTAATACGATTGCTTATCATTAATTTCCTAGATCACTAAGTCGACTACATCTGTATGGAGGGCTGAGCATAGAATTTCTAGAATGTCTGCTTGAGATTCCCAGCAACCTTAACGATATTTATCTTGATGGTCCCTTGGAATATGCTAAACGAGTTGAAGAATTGTCAAAATTTCTTTATAAATTTTTGAAAAAATATTCCACCACGTTGGAAAAAATTACTATCAATGCTTTTAATGAAGGGATAGAACTGGAGTGGAGATTTCCAGTTTTTCCGGTCTTAAAAAGTTTCAAAATATTTGGAGGTATGAACTTAACGAAATCATTCTTCGAAACCAGCCTCGGATCCAGATATTTTGGAGGGATTGATTACAATGTAAATTTCCCGGTTTTGGAAATCTTGCTTATTTCGACCTCTTGGCACGAGTTGCCCTACGTGGCTGCATTTCTTCCGCCGCCTGAAGATAACTGCCAAGAATATCTAGTACGGGATGTACATTTCACACTAACAGGACCTGGTTGGACACCTGGGAAAAAGTTGGTTCAGACGGAGCTGTGTAAACGATTGTTGAAGATATTCCCTAAAGCGAGAGATTCGTTGATGGGCGACTTAGTGAAATTTTCCGAACGGTGTGCCCAAGATTAGAATATCGGAAGACTATAGATATAAATTTTATAAATTATCGCTATTTACATAATTGCAATCAGATATAATTGTAAACTCTAATTGGAGTCTCCCTCCGGTTCGGATTGGCGAAATGGTATAGGAGAAACCTCGGGTTCGCATTTGTACGTGTTCGGATGATTAGAATTTCTCCAAATGTGTTTTTTTCTAATCGAAATTTTAATTTTTGAGAATACCAAGTATTAAATTATTACGTGTAATTTTATGATATTTAATGCGTATAAGAAATAGCAACGTCCACATATGTATTCATTAAAGTAATTTATTCGTATAATTTATGTACCTGGTGGTTCAGGTTGAAGTGTTAGTAAAATAAATGGATACAGGTCAACGGATTTCACAAATAATGTTTTACTTTTTATTTCAATCGAAAGCTAGTTAAATTTAAGTTAAGATACATATTTTAAACTCCAAAATATCCTCACCCATCATCCAGGCACTGCTGTAAACGAGAGCGCCAAGCGCCCACAAAAGTACGCACTTTTTTCATGGGTAAACCCTCCCAATCCTGGGTCAGAAATTTTTTTGGGACCTGGACACTTTTATGGCTGACTAAAGGCTAAAGACTAAAGACTACATCCATAAAAGTAATAAAAGTGGCTAAAGGCTAAAGACCTAAACACCATATAAAATTAGGAATATCTTAAACGCTAGACCCTTTGTTTCCTGATTAAAATCCGCAGGATATCGCATTGTAGTTTTAGAAGAATGATATGACCTATTTTGCTCACCGGAGAAATTTTGAATATTTTAATCACCTTATTTTAACCCCTCTAGTGTGTTTCTTACTGTGTGTGCGAAATTATTTGTATGCATGCGTGGTGTTGAAATGCAATTTAATACTATCATAATGATCACTTAATTAATTACATAACTAACCAATTACTAACTGGTCGGTGAAGTTAAGTGTCAACTTTCCCCAATTTTTTTCAACCACTTAAAAGCTACTTTTGGATTTATAAAGAAGCATAGAAATAGGCAAATTTAATAAGCTTCCTAACACTGAAAACCCCAGGGTTTCGTGAGAGGTGGAGCCAGGATGGTAAAAATTTCGAAATCCGATCTTCACCATATCAAAGCCAAGAACATAGGCTTGAAAACATACAAAGGTAAAACTGCACCAAAATGCAATAAAGGTCAAAAAGATCGAGCTAAAAAAATTGTCGAGAACTTGTTGAGAAAATGTAAAAAGTCGATTTTGTGAAAAGAAAGAATCGCTCCAAACTCAGCTAAATGGCGACCAATTGGATTGTTTTTGGCATTAATTGAGAACCAATACTCTCAGAAAAAAAGGACACCAACGAATTTGGAATAATTTCTGCGGGTTATGGCGAAATCGTCATAGATGTAGAAAAAGTGAGTGGCGAAGCGCTCGTGAGAGGGGTGCAACAAAATCTTCGCTCAACTGGCAGGGAAGGTATATTTCGACCACTTAACGATTAAAAAACTTTGGTATGCTCATCGTTAGTATTGCAAAAAAGTTTCGTTATATTTGATTCATGCATTAATTTTTTGCAGGTCAAAATAGTTTGGTACTTAACTTCACCGACCAGTCCTTAACTAATCATTACAAATACCTCAGTGTATTTATGAATTGATTATTAGCTCGCCCTGCGTAGCAAGAGAGCTATTGAATTCCTCTAGTCCGTCTGTCTGTCTGTCTGTCCGTCTGTCTGTCTGTCTGTCTGTCTGTCTGTCTGTCCGTCTGTCTGTCTGTCCGTCTGTCTGTCTGTCCGTCTGTCTGTCTGTCCGTCTGTCTGTCTATCTGTTCACGAGTTTTTTGCATCAATTGATGCTAATTAATATGCCCCATGTGTAAATTTTAGCAAATTAGTAGCACCATTGGTCTCGAACAGGCGGTAACACAAAGTGGTGCCAAATAATTGAGAAAATAGATGCAAAACACACCAAACGTGCATAAGAACCTAAAGAAATAACTAGAATTTTTACTTCGAATTTGTCAGGATTTTATGTCGAAATTCTGGATGGATTTTTCTCGTTTATTTTCCACCGTTGGTGAAAAATTATGTCACAATTATGTATATCTTTTGTCCGCCTATTCTGCATCATTAATGCAAAATTAGTAGCACCATTGGTCTCGAACAGGCGGTAACACAAAGTGGTGTGAAATAATTGGGAGAATTGATACACTACGCACCAAAAGTGCGGAGTATCATATGCATCACATATATATGTTTGATTACGTCTGACTCAAGATTATGCCAACATTATGCTAATCTCATCCACTTGTTTGGAGAAGAAAACTTACAGGGGGAGCTACTTCTAACGTTACAACGGTTTATTTAGATTAAAATGAGGTGGATAAAGAATGCAATTTTGAGTAAAAATGCGAAACGTGAAAATTCTACGATTTTCTAAGAGCTACATTTTTCAAAACCTTGAAACCCTCCGTCAAGACGTGTCAGTATTTATATGTACATACATACCTCGTGACTGCGCATCTCCGAAATATTTACTAGTTCAACTACACACCAAATTTATTCACATTACATAAGCATTTAGCAGTGAAATTTATTATGTACCAATTGACTTTAAAAAGCTGCGATTTTAAAATAAACTACTGTGGATTAAAAATCTGTGAGGGCATTAAGCGTACACGGAATCAGTGCAAGCACAGATTTGCTGCCACATTATTTGTTTAAACGACTAATCCCAGCATAATATAAACTTGGACATAAAAACTGTATCTAGTTTCCTGATTTAGCGGATTTATTGTTGTTCAATTATTTTAGTCGTTTAACCGTCAGGTTAATTAACAAGTCGGCGCGTTATCATAACAACCTATCGAATTATTCACATTTTTAAACGAAACTATTAAGCAATTTAACCCTTTAATTCGTAACCAACCCAATTTTGTGAGAAATGGTTTACTTCAAAAAACGAAGACAAAAGTCGTCTTGAAAAAATGTAGTCATGGTGCGTGAGGATGGCAATTGCCGTTCCCCGAAGGTCATTGATTTACACTTTACACCATTTTCTTATCAAAGCGTAAAATTTGTTGTTGAGAGATTTCTCCTATACCGAGCAAACGTTAAATTTGAACATGTTCTTGCCGAAAAATGGGATATTTCTCAATACAACGCAATCAGGGTTTCCCCGGGTCTCTGGACCGCCTATCCTTTACAACACATGCTAAAGCCACCTTTCAAATTAGCCTGGTTGTGATTTTTTCCGTATAGAAAATCGAAAAAGAAGACATTCTTGTTCTTTCATATTTTTCGAAAAAGTGACCGTGTGACCGATTAAAAAACATTGAAATTTTGCTATTTTACGTATACATCCATGTTAAATTACAAAATTTCAATGTTTTTTAATCGGTCACATGGTCACTTTTTCGAAAAATATGAAAGAACAAAAATGTCTTATTTTTCGATTTTCTATAAGCAAAAAGTCACCACGAGGCTAATTTCAAAAGTAGCTTTAGCATGTATTGTAAAGGATAGGCGGTCCAGAGACCCGGGGAAACCCTGAACGCAATGTTAAATTTTGGATTTTTTAATATTTTCAAGTTTTACTATAACTGCTAAAATCCTCTTCCCGAACCATGACCACAACATACATACATGCCCGAATTAATGCAATTCCTTCTAGTGAATCACACGTCCTAAAGGGTTAATCATTCGACATATGTACATACCTTACCACAATTTTCAATATATTTCCATCGTGTGTCTTTTACCACAATGCAGCACGAGTTGAGTAAAAGAGTAGAATTTCTCCCCACAGAAATAGCACACCTTGTCCCTCACCTTTTCATGTATCCTTTGGACGTGCTTCTTTAGTTGGAACTTATCCCAACTTTTATACTCACATTGGCCGCACGCATGACTTAGCTCCTTGTCCGCGGTGTGCATTGCTTCGACATGGTTTTTCAAATTACTCGCAGTTTTTAGCCTCTTGTCACACCTGGGGCAGGCATACTTGCTCTGATTCTCGTGATAATTTTGAACATGAAGCCGTTTCCCGGTCCTGGTGAAGAATTTTGCTGGGCACAAGGGACACTTGATCATTTTTCGGGCAGATCTTTCTCGATGTGTTTCCTAAAATTTGGTAACATTATTCCCAAAAATTTTACACAAATTTCCTAAAAATTGGTAACATTTTTTAGTCAGTTTTTCTAAAATATGTACATATACCCACAACTCACCCCATGACTTGACAAGTCGCACATTTCCACGAAACTGGTTCCACATTGGGCACACTTGAAGGGCTTCTCGGTCGTGTGGGTGGAAATGTGTTTTATTAACCCGAGTCGCGACTTATATTCTTTGTGACAAAGGGTGCACCGAAACTGGACGGGGTGCTGGGCGTGGGCGAATTTAACGTGACTTGTGAGGCCTCCCTTCTTCACAAATGTTTTGTCACAGGGGACAAACGTGCATGAGAAACGGGGTCGTGGGCCTGGGGTGTGCACAGATTCCACGTGATTTTGAAGACCCGAGGGCGAGGCGAAGTCTCTATGACAGATTTTACACCGATGAGCTTTACGTTGGTGGTGAATCCGGAATAAGTGTGTGTACAGGCCGGCGCGATTTTTTAGAGTTTTCCTACAAATCTGTGAATAAGATGTGATATTGAAGTGCAACTTTGAAATCAGTTTTACACTCTAAACAAAAATAACTAAAATTTACCCAAGGTTGAGTAAAATTTATCCAGCGCCTGGGGAAATTTGACACAACCGTTGGATACATTTTCCACAACTTGGATGAATTTCACACATCGATTGGGTAAATTTTACTCAACTGGTTGTGTCATCCTCTTTTTTACTCAATTATTCTAAGCGTGTACCCTGTTGCTCACTTACTTGACATTTAATTTGAGTACTGGCGTCATCATGCGTGGCCAGATGCATGATTAAGGTATACGTCGATTTGAAACTTTTCGAGCAATGGGGGCACTCCTGCGGCATATTTTTTCTTGGTGCCATCTTCAATCTGTAAATTTTGAAGGATTGATAAACATTAGCGTGCCCAGGAAAATACTGAAAAGTACCCAGTAGAGGATTGCAAATCAACAATACTGACTGTTGCCTAGACAAATTGTTTTATGAACTCAATATAAAACAAAAATGTTAGACTGACTTTGGTACTAAAACCCCCCTAGCTTTTCCAGTTTACAACGGATTTTCAAAATTTTGTGATGAAAATGATCAAAAACGTTGAAATTTTACAGAAAAAAACAAAAATTTACATAATTTTGAATAATTATTTATGCGATTTCTCACTCGAATATTTATCCATCGAATATTAGGAAATTATCCGAGTTCTTGATTTAGATAAATTTTAAAAATTAAATTTCCCCATGAGCTAAATACAAGTGTATTTAGGAGGTCGGATGAATTGATTAAACGTCCTTAAATTGACAAGAATGAGGATCACTTTAAGCAAGACAACATTACCAGGAAAAATTTAAAAGTTTACTGACTTGGGAAATAAAATATATGAGAGTGGATACACAATTAGAGCTGAACCTTTTTTTGCTACACACGTGTACCCATGGCAACCACGAATCTAAGGGTTCTGCCCTTTCCCATTGTGCATCGTCGAGTGGAAGGTTGGGTTGGTTATATTTGAGACCGACCGATGAACAAAATTTAGAAGAATGAGTCCATTATTATAGGGTGTACGCCTTTTTATAAGATCGTTATGTCCCTCCGTTGGTCCGATAACTGATATAGGCTTGAAATTTTTAACATAAACTCCTAATAAAGGACAAGACAAGTTCGCAGATGGACAAAACCTTCAAAGTCATAAAATGTCATTTAAACCTAAAAATTGCATACACATGTCAATTGGAATAATTGAACCTTAACCTCGAATTCAATCGTCTGCAAAAATTCGTCCCTAGATGCTGTCCCACTCAGAGGTCGACGCCGACAAATTTTCGGCGGCGGCGGCGCCAATTTTCGGGGATTTTTCGGCGGCGCGGCGCGGCCTCCCAATGTTGAAGGAATAGGAAATCAAATTTTTCGGCGGCGGCGGCGCCTAAAATACTACCCGCGTTCGGCGGCGCGGCGGCGTGAGATCGGCGGCGTCGACCTCTGGTCCCATTTACCTGACATGCATAAATACTTGCCTATAAATACTACACTCTTAAATCCAGTGTTACAGTAATACCAAAGTGTTATTGATAAGTAATCCCGCATAGTAGTAGCTTGTTATTAAAGTAATTTGTAATTTGTAATAACTCCCTCTGTAATTTGTCACATTTTATAAACTTTCGAAAAAAATATGACAATTAAATTTTCGATAAACGTACACACTAACGGCCGTATTCTGAATCACATTTCTGAGTGTGAGTGTGGGTGGCCACTCACGTTTCGTATTCCCAATGAAAATTTTCTCCACTCTGAAAGTGAAGACAGTGAGAGTGGCTCTCTGGCAGAAAATTTGAGTGACAATTTCGTGAGTTTTCCATTTTACTCCAATACAATATTTATTTCTCCACTCAACAAAATTTGTGAACTCTCACTCACTTTCTCTAGTTACTCAAGGAGGTACCCTTTACCTGGTAGGTTTTCGTGAGCTCGGAAAATTTAATTGTTTGAAATATTTCGCTATATTATGACTAGTCAGAATTATTTTCCAAAGCATTTACAATCATTATTTAAATTTAGTATAACTATTTTTACAAGTCTACTGACTGGATCTTAGGTTATAAATGTTTTCAACCGGAGAACCTATCGCATGTTATTTGGTTACAGTTAAGATACAAGAAATAGTCTTCCGAGGATTTTATTTTACATAATTCTGGCGCACATTCAATCTTTCTACACTGACATGATCAAAGTAATAATATTATCCAATAACATCCACAGAAACACGGTCCTCGCACTTTTCTGGATCGCCAAAAAATTTTCAACCTTCATCTTAAAACTTGTCAGGCTTTTAAGCTTCCGCCTCCGCAACGAACCTGTTTCCCAAAGTCCCCAAAATAAGAGGAAATCTTCCGATTTTTCCGTTATATTTGCCACCAGCCGGATCAACGTGTGTGCCGTACCGACCAGAAGAACCAAAACTATTCCTGCCTGGAGCACAAGAGAAAATGGTACATACGTGTATTAATTAGTACACGATCGAATTGAAAAATTTATTGAACGTTATTAACGTATTGTTCAATGATATACGTAATAAATGATAATCAAGATGAGCTGCTGTCAATTTGGGCATGTTGTAACTGATAACGACTTTTTGCTAATAATTCAAACTTTTGTTAACAACTCGAACGTTGTTAATAAATCATAAGGCCTTTGGAAGGATATTTGGCCACTGCCTTGAATTCAGGTACCCTCTTGATAAATTCGAGTCAAAAATATTTTAAGGTGCCCCTTAAGCCAGCTCGAATACAACAAATCGAGCTGATATCAATTTCTATGATATAAAAGATTCGTTAGATAAATTGATACAATATCGGATTTTGTAAATAATTCGGAGTTTTGTTAATCAAGCATAAACCTCTCCAATAACTGGAAAGGTTGTTAATAGCGCGGGCACTTGTTACAGTTACTTATGCCGCGCGAGAGATATGACACGGTAAAAATATGAAGATAAGGTAATTATTTTATAATCTTAATTATTTGCAAGCCAAGCACCTGCTCAGGAAATTATCAAAAATATTCAAAATTTCAATAAAAACTTGTTAGAGTGAGCAAAAAATTTAGATTAAATGGAAAACTTTTCTTACCTTGCTAACTTGCAAAGTACGCGTGAATACGCTCAATATGCATAAGTTCATTTGATTTATAAATCAATCAGCCTCCAATACTACCTCGTTAGTTGGTCTACTACTGTTACTTCCAGTGCTATATTGACTCAAATTAGTTACATACTTGCCTCTTACCCCAACTTTTAGTAGGTGGGAGCAGTATCCTCAACCATTTGATCAACTCCTCTCTAAACGCTTTGCCGAATGCGGAGTAAAATATGAAATTTTATGGAGGAATTGATTACGACAAGGATTACGAAGATTACAAAAGCGTAGAAGCTCTAGGTGCCGTCAATCCTTTTGAGAACCATGGAAACGACGGAGAAGACGTTCAACGAGAGGGAGAAGGAAACTATGTATTACAATTCTTAACAGGCTTAGCGCATAATGGAATGATTGCATACTAATTTGCAAAATTTTTCTGCAAAACACATTTGCAAATTTTTAAATTTTAAGTTGAATCAAGCACACTGACTTGGTCGCTAAATACGGAAGTGAGATGCATAGGTGGGATTGAAATTTACATAACACTCTCATGCATACAAACACACCGCACTGCGCTTATGGGATTAACATCTGGATTTTTGCGTTACATTATTTACCGATGGCGTACAACGATGACATCCTCGTGACCCTAGGCTGGGTAAAATTCTTCGGCACGAACTGTTGTACTTGATCCTCCTCACTACATATTCGAGACACCTATGTGTGCCTTCCAATTTCTCCGCTTCGACTCCTCCCTCTTCGCCGATAACAGGTGGATATCTTTGTAAGTGAAGGTGCTGAAGCTGATCAAAGACAGTGTTATATAAGTCACAATTTTGACAATAACTGAACCCTTGGGCTCAAATTCCCAAAATATTGATGAGCCTTTTCGCTTCTAACAATGGATGGTACAAAAAAGAAACAGCTTAACATTTCAAAAACAAACCTGTACTTAAGATGAGACGATCACTTTATTCATTAAGGAACGTTCATAAAATACGTAACAAACAATGTTTCGTGTGCAAGTATACACCTGCAAGAAATTGCAAGAAATAGGCGCCATCTACCCATTCGCCTATATATTACGGCAGGTGCCGCCTACTTCTTGCACTTTCTTGCACTTTCTTGCATCTTGCAGTTTCTTGCTTTGCAGTGGTAAAAATGCCTAAAGGGTGCAAGAAACACTGGTAACAAATACAATTCCAATGGAAAACCTTTGCGGAATCTTTGCAATGTGCTAATTTTAGTCATGATATTCAATAATTAAAATTTTATTGGGTCTGTAAATATATAAAAATTTGGGATAAAAAACTATTTATTAATAATTGCTATCCATATTAAATATGTATTTTATGAGAACGAAGACGTAATTCTAAAGACCAGCCTGCTTGACGGATGCTTAACCTATAGTGATAATAAATCCTATCCCAGCTAAAACTTGAAAAAATGTCGTATAAACTAGTCGGAGAGTGTCGAATATGTAGTTAATGGGAATGGCGACCAAATTAGCCAATCGGTTCAATGGGCTGTCATGTTTATCCGGAAAGGTTACTTCCACCTTCTGGATATCTGCTTCCTTGACATCTTGGCCTCCCCTATCTGCAAGACGGTTGTAATGACGTTTTTCTTTCTAGCAATGTGTTTCTACCTAAGAGGTACACTCCAGGAAATCTGGTTATGACATATTTGTCACCGGCCGATGACACTATGTTACTATATCAGAACGGTGATAATCTACCTCGGCTTGAAGGTGGTTTGTCACCACCTTGTTAACAATATATTATTTACTAAAATTTTAATATATGTATATCACCGCCCGGTGACAAACTACCACCATTTATGTAGAGTCATATAGTGTCACCGGCCGGTAATAGAACTTCTTACAGCGTATTTAAATACGAATTTTTATTTAAATACGAATTTTTTTTATAATTTTTTATAATTTTACCGTGGCTAAGTAACATAAATTTGTAAATTACTCTTTCCAAAAAACATAATTTGTCAAACGAATGAATGTTTAGATTTTAATATCCGAAATCTTTGTATTATTTGCCTGGTGAAGATGACAGTAGTTCATTGAAAGCTAGCAGTTTACAAAATAAAATCAAGCAATGATCCCCGAAACCGCAGAAATGTCTGATCATAGTATTTAAATACGTTTGAAATTACTTTACCTGCTACAATACGTTATCAAAAGTTATCCAAATATTTCCCGGGAACTTAAATTATGAAATATACATGTTATATTACCTATTTTTCCAAAGTTCAATGTTTCATCCCGACCGTGAATTGTTGCCTGAACTGCTGTAAAATTTTACCAGGTGTGAAATAACACAATTAAATTATATCGAGTAGTTAATTTGGTTTGAAAACGATAAGATTTGAAACATTCCTTACCAGATTGTGACCTCGAGACGTGACAAAGTTGAGAGAGAATGACAAATGTCGTCATAATTACCAAGGTCGACTTCATGTCGAATAAATATTTATGTATTTAAAAATTGTGTAGTTCGATACCCACAAAGGAGATGGTGAATTCCAGAAATGAAAATAATGACTGGGGACGATTACCATGTGAGGACGACCTTTGCCTCAATATTTTTCCGGAATTGTACATACATACAAATTAAACCCATTTATTGGGCAGGAGCAACAATTAAGGTGATATGCAAATATGTAGGTCGGTACAGAAACGGTAGGACAAAACTAAAAAG